ACGCAGTTACAGCGATGATTTAGCCAAAAATTAAATTTAGACAGTTTTCCCTTCATCAGCTGAGACATGTTTGGTGTCTGAAGTTTGCTTCTTCAGATTCTGAGTTATGAGGGTATCGTAAATACATTATACCAATTACAGAGTTTTAAAACTACATAAAAAGTCTTTTTAAGATTGTTTAACAACTCAACATAGTTTGGGGTAAGTGTGGTGATGTAGACATGGACTTTTCATGATGCCAGCTGGTGGTTTTAATTGTCCACTACTTGTTAGGTACACTAGCCTCATGGCTCCAGTGCAAACTTCAGACAGCAAACATGTCTTGGCTGATCACCTCCATTTGGGGTGAGCTGAAAATCGGATGAATTTAATTTTTGACCAAACTGTTGCTCTAATTTGAGCTGCCTCCTTACCTTATAGAGGCAAAGGTCGATGACCTGTGAGCAGACATCTCTGAGATCCGTGCACACCTGCAGTCGGCTGCGTACGAACGCACATAGCTCCTCGTTGCTGACAGTGTCCCACACTCCATCACAGGCCAGCACAATGAACTCATCAGCCGGGGAGCGCTCCACAGCGGAAATCTCCGGCTCCGGTGAGACCATCTGCTCCGTGGCTGACCGCCACTCTGCTGCCTTGTAGCTGAAGTCCCCCAGAGCCCGGGAGACGGCCAGTGAGCCGTTGACGCGCTGTAGAGTGACCGAGCCGCCGGCATTCTCAATGCGCTCCCTCTCCCCGGGACTGAATGGCTTATGGTCCTCCGTGGAGAAGGCCACACGACCACCGCGACACAGCATGGCCCGTGAGTCACCACAGTTCACAAAGTAGATGTGGTGTGGGGTGATCATCGTGGAAACCACAGTGGTGCCACCACGTTCCCAGCCCTCACGACAGGCCATGGCGTGAAGGTGTTTGTCCATCAGAAAGAAACCCTCCCTAATGCCCTCATTGACCTGCTCCACATCTTCATCTGCTCGAATCTTACCTGAAAGAAAAGATCAATCAACTGAAGGATGTTCACTGCACTCTGACAAAAAGGGTTCTTTGGTTTTGCCATGGAAGAACTGGTTTCCTAAAAAACCTTTGAGCAGATGGTTCTTTAAAGAATCTTTTTTTTAAAATGAGAATGTGAAGAAATTTTTAAAGTTGAAAGAACCTGCATAATGTAAACTTTCTATACTAATTAAATGTTTTACTAAAACTGTACATCGAATAACCAATTAGAAATCTTTGTAATAATAAAAAACTGCTTTTTATAAGAGAAATCATCATTAATTGATTACATCGCAGATGATGCTTATTATAAATCACGTCAACAAGGAGTGACTACAAATGGACCTTTGCATCCTCAGGGTTTCTCAAAAAGAACCTACAAATCCTTGAAGGTTAAAAGATTTTACTTGTTTCACAAATTTTTAGTGGAATGAGCGAAAGGCCAATCAAATCCATCCAAAATGTTCAATACAGCATATCTGTGACCTCTCATTTACAAAGAAAGGAAAACAGCAAGTGAACTATTGAAGCTGTGGTGCTGGTATGCCTTTGAATGCTCAAGCTTTGTGTGAAAGAACTTGCAGATCTTGGAACTCGTGCAGGTTAACAAATGTGATGTTTCTCTCTCATGTAATTTACTGTAATTGTGCTTTATGTGCTTCAGCAGTGCCTCTAAAATCTATTGTTTTCTATGGTTCCCTAATAATACTGGAATCATATTGGTATAGGCAGATAACTGCTTAAAAAATACTGACATCGGACAGATGTATAGATTTGACTGATATTTCAAAATTATATTTGATGACGTATGTGTTGTACTCTGGAAGAGCAGAATGTTTAGGTGATGCTGAGCTTTTATGCAACAGTGTCTTGCATTTTATTCAGTTTAATGCATTTGTAACCCTATAAAATCAAGACAGATGTAGACTCAATTTCTGTATTTCATAGAAGTCTGGGCATCAGCATTAGCAGATTTGTGATAATTTCTGATACTGGTATTGGCTCACAATTGCCATATCGGTGCATCCCTCCTGTTGTCTTTGTTTTTAAACTTGAAATCAGAAAGTTTACCAAACCTTACTCTCTTAAAAAAATTAAGTTCTTAAATGGTTCTTGATTTTGCTTATGGTTCTAGGAAAAACTTATAATTGGTATAGAACCATTGCTTTATATTTACTTTAAAGTTCTTTAAACTTAAAAGATCTTTATCTGGAAGTTCAAACAAGGTCATTCATACTCGTAGATCTTATTTTCAGAAACTGTTCTTTGACAAACCATCCATTGAAATGTTATTTAGGGAACCAAAAATGATTCTTCTATGGCATCGCTTTGAAGAACACTTTTGGACACCTTTATTTTTACGGCTGTGCTTCATTAGCTCCTAATTTGCTGGAAATAAACGATCAGATCCTAATAGTCTTCAGAGAGGTCATAACTTACCTGTGCCCAGAATGTGGTCCAGCAGGTTTCGTGAGCAGTGCTGGGCCACCGTGCTCCCAGCATGGCCATCGTAAACGGCAAAGAACCCCCAGTGGGACAACTCCCCACCCAGCTGAGGAAAGCAGTTGTGGAAGTCTTCCATGTGGGCCCTCCAGCCTTGCATGCTGGCCAGGGCGTAGGTGAGGCCCCACGAGGCACAGCCCTCCTCCATATACTTGTCCAGCACAGGCCGCTCCAGGTAAGGGCTGGGGATGACCCCTTCTTCTTCTGCCCCATCCTCACCCTCAGCCAGCTCGCCCCCGCCTCCTCCGCGCCCCCCTTTGAAAAAGGAGGTGACCCGTTTCTCCGTCTCTTTGACCAGCTGCCGAACAAAAGCAGGCATTTCCACGCTTCCTTTCCTTGAAGTTCTCATGCTGTCGCTTTATCTCTTCTATCTTGAATGAATCCTCTCTCTCTCTCTCTCTCTCTCTCTCTCTCTCTGTCTCTCTCTTTCTTTTCTCTCACTGTCTCCCAGCCTCCACCCCTAGGCTTCTGTTCTGCTGCCTTTGCCTTGCCTTGGCTGTGTGCAGCCTTGCTGCTAAGGGGCCTTCAGAGCATGATGTCCTCAGAGATAGGTCCTGCTCTTCCAAGCATCTGCAGATAATCATATCCAGGATGGCTGATGTTATCCTTTGTTATTCTACCCATTGCTGGGTTTGTGTTCTCAAGCTCTAACCTATCTGCATTCTTCACTGTTCTATCCAAATAGCACCAGTGCTGTCTTCTTCCTGCTCTGTCTCTCACTGCTGTTCCCTCTCTCTCTTCCCAGCTGTCTCTCTGAACCTGTTATTTTCCTGTAGTCCCCCTGATTGGCCGAGCTATTTCTGTGCTCCAATCCTCTCTCAGTCCTCCTCCTTCCTCCTTGTTTTACACACGCATGCACAATCCCTGCGTCTCACTCTCGCTGGCTCTTTCTAATGCTCCCTATCTCGCGCTCTCTCTCTTTCTCTCTCTCTCTCTCTATGCTCCTCCTTTTGAACTCTCTCTTTATTAATGTGACTTTGAATGACCCAGTATCCGCCATTACAGAATACTGTACTGAGAATTTCTTAAGCAACAAATGGAGACAAAAAGCACCCGTCTCTCTCTGATACTCCCTCTGAAAGGCTTCAAAGCCAGATTCTTTGATTCATGCGGAGGAACACGGCTCGCCTCAAGCACGATTTATGGAAGCTGCATCCAAATATGAACTGGAGAGTGTCCAGCGTGGGTTCATTCAGACAGATTAGATGATTATGTAAATAAGTAAATGTATTCATAACTGCTGGATTACATAAAAAGCTATTTATATCCCCGTGACATGCATGTGGACCGATGTTCACATGAACAGTGGATGCAACTGAAAGGTTATACAGATGGTTGTACTAACATTATTACTCTCATTGTGGACATATGCAAGTATTGTAATCAGACCATATTGCAAAGGTTCACTGTTTACTGCTATAAAATTTTAGAAGTGTAAGAAAAACTCACCTATACTTTAAAGGGACCTAAATTTTTTAATTAAATTAAATTTAATTAAAATTAAAGGTGCGGTTTTTCTTAGACATTGAAGCACTTCAGTTAAGATGAGTATATAACAGTAGGCTATCATACTCAAAACACTCATACTGTACTACCCCGCAAGATGAAACACACAGCTAACATCATATCAGACAATATGGATGTGTGCTGTTTCAGGATAGATTTGTTACAGGATCACATCAAATAATTTATTTTCTCTCCGACATTTGGTTCAGCATTTTTTTGCTGATATCAGACTCATACTGATACCTGGTATTGGACTGGTGCCATCACTACTTCTTACTGTGCTTTTAACACTGATATATCTAAATGACTCATGTTCTGACTGGACGGCCTGTATTCAACAAGGACACACAGTGTCATTAATGTGAAGCACCACTCTTATGAAGCGCCAAGTTCCTTTCCACTGGTGGAATGGCCACTTGGGGATCTGCAGAAAGAGGTTACAAGCCAGGTCCATGAGATGCTTTATATCTCAAAAGTAATCTGGGCTGAAACACTCTATGTAACCTCACTGATTTTTTCTGAATTCACTTCACTGAATTTGCAGAGCTAAACAGCTGTCAGCTGAGTAGGTGGACATAAGTAAATGCATTGTTATTTATGACGTCAAAAAACAGTGAATTCAAACAGGCTGTTGCAGCTGTAGTTTCCACAGATTCACAGATTGTGAATCAGTTTAGCAAATTCATGATGAAAAGAACTAGATACATTTTAATGTTCATCAAGTATTAATAGCTGATATTTCAACTTTTGCCAGCTTCTGAAAAGCCATGTCCTAGCCCTAGATTAGCATTAATTAGGTAATATTGCTGCTATTTAGGATATCTTTGCCCCTAGGGGTTCAAGACTTGTCTGCACACTGACACATGCTGATGTCTCAGGTTCCAACAGCTTGGAGGGCTTCAGAAGAGTGGGGTGGGGTGGAGACTTGCGCGTAACAGTGTGTGTGTGCAAGGCGGGCTGAGTGTGTGTAAAGATGGGGTGTCCAAGTGGAGGGGATATAATTAGGTCAGGCCGGCCCTTTACTGCTGACAGTGCTAGGGTGGCCAAAAAAAGCCGTTCGGGTCGGAGGAGTGCAGGGAGGAGAGGGGGTTTGGCGTGGAAGCAGCTAAAATGGCCAGCAAAGGTGAGACATGTCCATACGACTTGGGAAACCTGGAACTGAGCTCTTCATAGATCGTCTAGCTACACAGAGAGTGTAATATGCTAAGGTGTTGATAATAAGGGTAGTAGCAGGTGAAGGGGCCTCCGGCAGCGCTTGCGCAGTGTATAGAGGGAGCTACAGTAAGCCTGCTGAGTGGTCAGTTCATCACGGTGGGCTTGCTTACAGCAGCTTGGCAAGCTGAAGCGATCTGAAGGATGGATTACCATCTGGGGCTGGACTTGTGCAGGACTCTAGGATATACAGGGCTTCTTTTTAAGAAAGACACGGTGATGTTTTGAGCAAAGAAGGTGAGACCCTATCTTTGACTCGTTTCGACCGTGCTTCTAGATGACTCACACGGTGTGATTCGAGCTGAACCGGCCATGTCAAGCCGAATTAAGGGGTGTATTAGCAAGGCTGGGGGTCTTACTGAAGATGGCTCCATTGTAAGAGATTCCAGAGGGCTGTGTTTGATCAGATAACTCCCCCTCCTTAGCTTTACACATGGGCTTGCAATGGCATGGATTTGCACCTGTGTTTGCCATAGCACGGATTTGCACCTATGTTTGCCGAATAATCGGAAGCAACAGCTGTCTGGATCCATTGGCTTTATGTGAGGCGAGAAGATGCTGATGGCATTCTGCGCTGAGCTGCTGTGTCTGTATGCTTATGCACACTAGTGAATGAGGAGGACATCAAACAAGCTTTGTTGTTAGATTGTTTTATGAGACAACAATTCAGGCAAATACAGTATTATGATGTAGTATAATATTTTAATACTGCATTTGCCTGAATACAGTATTATAATATAGTATTATTATTTTCCACATATAGGACAGACATCAAAATGTGGTGCTGGAAATCATATGGATAAGAATGAATGTTCCAAATGAAACTTACTATCATCAGGTGTTTCGAGATTATATGAATGTGTTTGTAAGAACCATAGCTTGGCATTTAATGTGGACTCACAGGGCTACAGGTCATATTCCAAAGGGGCATAAAGACATGTTAAATGCTGTAAAATGCCCATTTTTGTTAGACGACGTTAGTTATGATCGGTGTGTGAAATACTCTGTGGTATTCAGGGGGTCCCATGTTGGCTGGCTACTCCAGTGTTGACTGGCTGCCAACTCACTTGCCATAGCGGCACTGATGCTAGCTTCAGTGGCACAAAAATGTTTGGTTTAACAATTCTTCATCTGGAAATTCAAAACTATTGCAAAACTTTTTCTTATATTTAAGATTTAAAAACTGGTGGGGCAAACTTACAAAATTCACACCCGCAGGCCCCAGGTGAGTTGGCCTGGAATGACCCATAATAATCTTATTCTCACGATGCATGTGTATACAATACATATCAACCAGACTATTAGAAATCTATTTCAAGAGAATCCATAAAAAGTTCCTGGTTTTCCCTCCACTGCATAATGTTTATTGATCAACATCCAACAGTCAGAGCAGCGGTGTGTTCTTGAATTTACAAAGAAGAACAAACAAGCAGAGAGAAAATTGGGTTAGAAATGTGACCTTCTTTCTGTAAACACACAGATTACAACAAACTGCACATAGACAGACATGAAAGCCCACAGAAATGTTTGAGGTTATGTCTTTAATCTCTTTCCAGAACAACCTCAGATGCAGGCAGTGTTCTCTTTCTCAGCTGCACGCTGTTCCTTTCTTCTCACTCCACAGTGGCAGATTTGTTGTACTGGCGAGATGTGCCTAAAACGGGCCTGGTGTTCACAGGACTAGTGGTTGGCCTGGCTTGTCTGTTCCAGCTCAGTGCCATCTCTGTGCTGTCCAACCTGGGCCTGGGCATCATGGCCTTCACTCTCCCCGTGTGCCTCCTCTACAAAGCCATGACGGTGGTCCACCTCAGTGATGGAGAACATCCCTTCCAGTGCGTAGGACTTTCCCTACACAGCCCGACGGAGTTCTGTACTCCTTGTTATTAGCTTTAGAGGAGAATTCTACCAATTTTTCCAAATTTCCATATAATTCAATCATTGAGGAGTGTTTGTTGTCAAATGGTGCAGTGTAGAAAAACTAACAATTATGATTTCTTTGCAACTGCTGTGATAGAAAAAAGGGGTTACAATACCTCCAACACAAATATTGCTATTTTATTTATTATCCAAAACAATCAGTAAGTCTTGTGAGTTTTTGTATGTAATGCTGATAATGGTAAAATAGAGGTAAAAAAATCTTGGGTAATATTTGCCTGCACCCGGCATGTACCTCTCCACTATGAAAGACTTACAATATACAACTACATTTTGGGTCAGAATGTCAAAACTATTGCAAATAATGTCTCAGGCATCATGGAGCATATTTGTAACCATTTCATGTAATAGTTTTTAGTCAGCTTTTAGAAGCATTAAATGCTTTGGATGTCTGGTTCCTATCACTACCACTGTCTAAATTCTGACTTGTTAGGTTTCTCTAGAGTGGCACAATTCAGAACAAACTTCTCTGAATGACATTGTTTGCATCTTAACAATTTAATTGTGCAGAAAATGTTTATTTGTTGCCATTCCCGTTTCACTAGAGTTAATATCAGCTGTGGTTTCTCATGCAAAAGAAGGTGTATCACAGATAGTTTTGCAAAAAAATAAATAACTTACACATTTTCACCTTACCTATAATGTAATCCATGACATAACAAATATTTGTTGTCCAGAGCTATGAGGCTAATATAGCTGACAAGTCACAGCTTATACCTCACCAATTAGCATCATGCAAACTACATGCCTCAAACTGTTCTGAGTTGACATGTAATCTCAAACAGACTTGCTTATGTGGTTTCTGACACAGTATGATGTACTGTGTATCTATGAAAATGGGCGAAAGTGCATGTAAAATTCAGGATTCAAGATGGATACTACTGGACATTTTTAGCAATGTAATTTTTGTCCATTTTAAGTACAACAAAATATGTCCTGTAATGTCAGCAACCACATATGCAAGTCTATTATAGATTGCTTAACAACTCGACATGGTTGGAGGCAAGTATGTAATGATTTAGGCATGCAGTTTGCATGATGCTAGCCTAGCATCTGTAAGTTTCCATTACTTGTTAGCTATATTAGCCTCATAGCTCCAGTGTAAAACTGATAAAGCAAACTTCAGACACCAAACATGTCTTGGCTGATTGACTCCATTTAGGGTAAGTGGAAAATTGTGAAAAAAAACGTGTGGTCACTAGTAAAACATGCTTTTTTTACACACTTCTGTAAGGGGTGTCTTGATGCAGTCAACTTTCTCCATCATAGCTCTGTCTTCTGTATTACATAAAAGGTCCTATTTGGATGAGGACAGCACTTTGACAGATGAGGACACAGTTCGTGTTGTGGAGAAGATCGTTCTCCTGATCGCCACTCTCATCACAGAGCTGAAGAGACTGTTCTTCGTCGACAGCATTGTGGACTCAGTGAAGGTATGGTTGCGTGTTTGCGTGAGGAAAAGGAAAACGTTACGCTTTAGGCACACTTCACAGCAGCAGATGACCTACTTCCAAAACACAGAGGGAAAAACTGTCCACTTACGTAATTAGACCAGATATGAACCATTAACATGCGCTTTAATTCCCAAAGGCATTACTGCTGCAGGAAGCCAAACAAAGAGTATTTTCACAGCACATTTGGCAGAGAGAGCATTTTATTTGTGAAACTGTAAGAACATGATGTTTATTTGTTTGACGTGATCAAAGTATCATGCCATGAAATATATCCAGAGGGAGATATCCGCATCTGCATAATGCCAGTTATGATGCACTTTGAGTAAACGTTTTGTTTTTACAGTTCATTGTGCTGCTGTACCTGTTGACTTATGTGGGGGCCCAAACCAATGGTCTTACTCTTGTGATTTCTGGTAAGAGCTTCTACTTGCATGTCTAAAAGCCATTTTGTTGATGTACATGTTTCCTACAGCCTGTTTCAATACTTTAATTTTACTCTAATTTACACTAATTTTAACATGCCCTTGTCCACTTGGCCTCGCTGTTTCCCTTCTTAAGTGCCGCTCTATTGTTGTATTAGCTGCAGTGTGTCTGATGAGCCCTCAGAGGGATGAGGGATCAAGTCAACAAAAGTTGACTTCAGCAGCAGAACGTGCCCAGAAATGATTGCAAACTGATGCAAAAATAAGAATAAAAAAAGTAGTAGACAAAGTTGTTTATAAGCCATAACAGTAAACTACTTTAAAATGCTTAATATTTCAAAACTATAACATTGGATTTGCTGGGCTTTAGGCTGCAAACTACTTCATCTGTCATACATGACAGGTAGGGTTGCAACCTTAGCTCTGTATCATTCCTGGTCACTTTGTTAGTAGCTTGATTTTTTGCTAAATTCAGAAGACGGGTAGCTATGCTCAATATACAATCTCAGGTGGACAGATAACAGTTCAGCTACAGAACTTTTTCAAAATGTTCTCACATTGCAGTGCCACCTAGAGCCTCAAAATCTAACAGTGCACTAACAGTGCATCTTTCCCAAACAGGGTTGAGGGTAATCTTAGCCTATCAAACCCACTCTTTGTATACAAATGGTTTTATTGAAAAAAAAACAAAACAAAACAAAACAGCAGTTTAAACTTCTTAAGAAATGTTAACATATGAATACATTTGGATTCCAGTACATTTTATGTCCAAAAATGGAATTATTTTTTTACTGAACAGACAACCAATATCCAGGATGATTCAGGAAAATCCGTTTATCACTTTACTTTGCTAGCATGCTAGTTAGCATGTTAAAAGCGACACTGCTCAACATCAAAAAGAAAGGCAATACTTCACATTTAAAAGCAAAGTTTATAGCCCGACAAAGCAATTATTCACAAATTTTATGTACCTTATGTTCAAACAATAATTGTTTTGCATTGCAAATTTACATTTAGCCAAGGTTGAGCGCATTCTGTTTGAAAAATTCACTTCCTGCTGTCCCCTCCACTACTTGTTCTGTGAGTGGCCACATATTTGTCCTCTACAAATACGGCCGCTGCTGTTTGGTGTACATAATAACTGAAGACATTAGAAGACATACTTTGAAGTATTCAATGTGTATTTAAACCCAGTTCATCAGGTTCTGAAAATTCTTCAAAAAGGACGAGTGAGTGTTCAACGTGCCAACATTTTCGTTTAAAAAAACAATTTGCTATGTGTCGTCGAGGCTGAACTCAGCCCACTTGTGTAACGTAGGCGTGATGCACATCCGAGAGGGGAGTTGATGTTGGCAAGGGCATGTTAAAAAATTATTGAAACAGGGTCCTATTATGCTCTTGAATGACAAGCTGTTTGCTTCACTGTTCTATCGTAAGCACAGCCCTTGTCTGATGGGTTTAGTGCTCTTTATAAATGTACTTTCTTTTATATAACAGGTGTGATTTGTGCTTTCTCTCTGCCTCTGGCCTACAGACTTCAGCGGGTAAGACATAAGACCTCAAGGAAATTAGATTATAAATAATTCATTGACTCAGGCTATTCCTGACCTAACCATCAATCTTTTTGACAGGAACGGATCGACAAGATTATCAAAGCAGTCAAATTATTAGTGACGAGAGTCACAGAGATGTAAGTCCTTGACAGTTTTACTGTTGCAAATAGCATCAGTGCATCTGAATTCCATGTACTTCTTTCTGAACCAGTAGGACTTCTTTCGACTATATGTTTTGCAGAATTTAAGACAGCATAGTAAATTGTAACATGAGAGAAAATGTCTCTGAAAGGTCCTTTTTGTGTCATCTCTCTGTTCTCCAGGGTTGAGCTTGTGGTGTCGTTGGCCAAACCTCCTCCAGCTCCGGCTCCTGCGCCCTCCCCTGCTCCTACTCCCAAACTAAAGCTCAAGGCTAAATGAGCAGGATGAGGAATTGAAGGCAGAGAGTGAGTGAGGGAAAGAATAAGGAGAGACAGTCTTACTGTGTCCATGCTCTTACAGTTAGGGCCTCTTTGCGGGGTGTAAGATGAAGTGTGAGGTACCGAAGGGTCTTGACTGAAAGACTGGAGAGTTATTTCTTAAATATCTTATGGTGCTCTGACTTTATTATATTTTACTATTAGATTTCAGCAACTTGTGTCTGTGCTGGTTCCTAATGAACACTTTTGGAAATGAAGGTACAAAACTGTCACTGGGGCAGTACCCCTCTTGTCACTGGGGTGGTACCCTCAAGGGTACATCTCTGTACCTTTAGTCAGGGAACATAATTGTACCATAATCCACTGAAATTCTATTTTTTAAATATTAGGTTATGAAAAGATACACATTTGTACTTTTCCACAATTGGACCTTAAAACCACTGTTGTACCTTTGAGGGTACATTTACATTGTACCTTGATGAACAGAAATGTACTGGCACAGCACCTTTATTTCTAACAGTGAACCACCATGAAACAGTAACAGCTGATCTAAGAGGAATTAATGTGAAACCACTGTCAATCCATGTAACTACATAATGCAACTGTAACATGATTAAAGATTTACATTTGATTAAAGAAATCTTTTTCACTTGGCAATAACATGTCAGTGTGTGGCATTTTAAAAAAGACTTGCTTGTCTGACAACTTCAAAGGGCTCATAACAGAGAAAACTGAATGTCTTTTTTGTTTGAATAAAAGATTTTGAAGTAATATGTAAACATTGTTGGTTTACTAACATTATTAGTTTCTAACTACCAAGTTATAAAATGTTTTGTTCACTGCCCAGTCCACACAGAAACTAAGCTGCAAAAACAATGTTTTGAATTTATGGTTTCTGTGATGTCACGAGAACCAACACATTTACATATATTCATCTATTCAGCCAAGAGTGGTTTCGCCCCACCCATTCATACTGAAGCTCTAGAACAGGGGTGTCTAATCTTATCTGCAAAGAGCTGGTGTGGTTGCAGGTTTTCATTCTAACAAAGCAGGAACACACAGTTGTTTGAAGACTGAGGCCAATGTTTTAACAAGTGGAATCAGGTGTGCTCCTGCTTCTTCCACCCTCATTCACTGCTCAGGCAGTCCACAAGGCGGTGTCCCATCACCCATGCTCTACACCCTGTGCACCCATGACTGCATTGCCAAGCACAACTCCAGCACCATCATCAAGTTGGCTGATGATACAATACCAGTGGGCCTCATCACTAACCATGAAGAAGTGTAGAGAGGAGGTGGAACTTCTCACAGAGCGGTGCACAGACAATAAACACTCCCTCAATGTCAGCAAAACCAAAGGTTGTTGATTTCAGGAAGGGAGCAGAGTGTCACACCTCTGAGCATTGATGGGACCATGGTGGAAAGAGTGAACTGCTTTAAATTCCACAGCTGAAGATCTCACCTGGTCACTCAGCATGTAGCACCTCGTCTAAAAGGCCCAACAGTGCCTTCATTTCCTCAGGAGTCAACCTGCCACAACAGCTCCTCTGCAACTTCTTACAGGTACACAGTGGAGAGCATCCTGACCAGCTGCATCACTGCTGCAGAATGGAAGGCCCTGCAAAGGGTGGTGAAAACTGGCCATTCCATCACTGCAGCTGTCCTCCCACCCATACAATAAAAGATGTCTGAGAAAAGCCAGCAGTATCACCTCAGTCCACACACACCCCAGCCACTTCCTGTTCCACATGCTGGCATCTAGGAAGAGATATCAGAACATTCGAACCAAACCCACCAGATTCAAGAACATTTCTACCCTCGATCTGTTGAACTGGTCACACCCACAGCACCCACCAGATCATGAATCTTTTGAACAACAACATCATGTGCTATATATTTCCAAAGAAAAGACCAAGCCTAAGATATGAAGGCAAAGGAAGGGTAAATCCCTGATTTTGAATTCAACGATTCAGTAAAATAATTCTTTAGAAAATGTAGCCCAAATAGCCCAGTAATTTTATTTTGGCCATAAAAAACTCTTACTTTATTATTATTATTAGAATACTAATAGAGTACAACATTACAAAATCCATGTAATAAATTGCTACCTGACAGTGCATGAATGCATTTTTAGACCCCTAGAAGGCAAATTATCAGTACTTGGTTATGCAACTGCACCAATACTATCTATAAACCTCATCTGCTAATTTACACACTTTGATTTTGAACTTTTAAACATGATCAGAACGCTTTTTTCTGTAATGTGTGCAAGTTCATACAGCTAAAAGGGAATTCCACTGGTTTTCAATCTCTGAGATGTGAACAAAGTCATTCGTGAAATGGTACTTGATGTGGAATGGAGAAACTTGCCAACTCAGATTTCTTCACAGTGGTGGTGATAGTATTCAGGATGATGTCAACACAAGTATAGCCATTTTGTTTATTATCCAAAACAACCTGAGTTGATAATAGAACAATAGTGGTAATTCTGAAACACAAGTTTCCTTTTGGGACTATTTTGCCCTTAAAACAGCTTTAGCCTGTAATATTTTTGTCAAAAAAGTTGCATTACTGAGGATGGAAAAAACACACTAAAATATGTTGTGAGTGCGCTGCTACAAATCGCCCTGTAAAGCCTGAAATAATCATTACAAAGTCAGAGGTACAGGGACGGATTTGGCGGGATGTATTAACGTCGCACGTACTTGAGCTTGTGGTATGTACTGTGTATGTATTGTGAATCAAAAAGAAGGTACGGCTTTAGGTCTCAAATGCAAAATCAACATTATAATGATAAAGATATGATGACAATAGTAGATAATCCACTCACATCCTCAGAAGACACGACTTTTATTAAGTTTTGACCAGAGAACTTGTAGAGAGAATTACCACTCTGTAATGTCTTCCGGGTTTCTCAAACGCTAGAGGGCGCTCCTGAGCGAGTCCAAAATGAATGGGTTAAGATGGAGCATTTGAGGAAAAAAGTAGTTTATAAATGCTTAAACATTTTTAATATAAAAGATTACATTCATTTTTCTAAACATAGAACAGCATAAAACATTTTAAAATCGCTGTTATAGATTTTATGGAGGTTTTATATTTTAAAGAGGTTTTGATTTCAAGTTATAGGAGTTTAAAACGGCTATTTATGTATGTTCATGACGTCAGTGAACCCAAACAGCCAATGAGCACTCAGTAGCAGTAATTCTAGCATCCTGCTAGCCAAAACCTGTTTGCTGTAGAAAAAAGAAAATGTAAAATACATTCTTCTATTTTGTAAAATTAAAGGAAAGTTCTGGGTAAGTGACTATTTTAACTTTTCGTTTTTAGCCATTTAGCTCTATTCTCTCCCATTCATTGAGGGCTCGCTCGCGGGCGCCCTCTGGCGTTTTGCAGTCTTCTTTTTGATATAACGGGTGCGGGGGGCGGGGGCAGGCTCCTTATCAACCGGCTCTGTTTTGACCGAGTTCTCTTCGAATTCTCTTTCAACGCACTCGCAAAAGTCGGATTCATTCGCTCGAAGCACAACCGACGTTACAACGTCGGCACGTTGTGTGCAATTACATATTTCCACCAGAGAGGTCTCCAAATCCCCAAATCCTACGTGGTATTCATGTTATTTTCTACTATAAATGAATTAAAATATGAATAAGGGCCTAACATTTGTCTTACAACTGCTGTAAACTAGTGTGTCAGAATTCAGGCAGCACATTTGTAACCATTTCATATAATAGCTTTGTGAGGGAGCTTTTAGAGACATTAAACACTAAAGATGTCCAGTTCCTATTACTGCCAGTGTGTACAACTCTGACTCAGTAATTTTCTCTAGAGAGGAGCATTTCACATGAAACTAATCTGAATTACTTCGTTTATGTCTTCACCATTTAATCATGAAGAAATTTTGAAAAATCGATCGACTTCCGCTTTAATGTCCTTACCAGAAATCCAATCATGTCTGGTTGCTTCCACTAGAGGGAGCAATAAGACCATTCCATTATTGTCATACACCGACAAATTCAGGCACGAAAATGAACAGACCACAGGTATTTCTCTTTGCACGGAATGAACGTTTTGGACAGCAAACTTTTCCATGATCAATGACAGCATGATTTAAAAGAAGAGGAATGCAACATGTAAACAGCTCTTTTCACAGCATTTCAAATGCTTCCCAGCTGTTTTGCTCCCACCAAGGACAACAGGCAACAGGGAAGGTGATCTAAAACGTGCATTATTTACACATGACAGGTCGCAAATATTATTTCCTTGGAAATATGAGGATGATTAAGTTATTTTTATTTTGTAACCAATTCAAGACATTGTTAAATAGTTGTTGTTTTTCTGTTTTTGATACCCTGTTTGACCCTTACCGGACACTGGCTGTGTGGTGTGGGATTCGTTTGGATGCCTTTTTGAAAACACATACATTTTTTGTGGATCAGACAGCTGTTAAGCATACAGCATCACAGCATTATTTACAAGAAATGTGCACAATCAACATTAAACAGTTTGACAAGAAAACATTCCACCATTCAATTAGATCATTGGTTGCAGATTGTTGTTTAACACTGGACAATATGACTGTCCCAATTTAGCACTGAAGACTGTGGCTATTTTAATACTAACGTGCTTGCCTGACTGTAAACATGCTCTGATCATTGCCATCAAAGGCCGCACAGAGGGCCATTATACCATTCCTGTGGTGCCACAAGTGTTTCAGAATGAACCAGAGAAACACCCCATTACACCACTGACACGACCAGTTGAGCCTCAAAGAACATTCTGAATTCATGATGTCCTGCTTCACAGACGGTCCGTGCTGTCCACCTCACCTCTTTTCATTTTTGTTCACTGCATGAAGTCATCTCTTCCTGTAGACTTTTTCATGGGAACTTTAATAATGCCCTTGTCTCTTAATGTTTATTGATTTAATGTGCGAGAGATGAACGGGGCGATGCAGGATTCTGGTCAGGTACTGTCTGACTGGACACTGTCCAGGCTAAATTGACCCGGCTCTGGCCGAGCAGATACGCTCTGAGCTAAATTGCCCTTGTCCAGGGTAGAACAGCCTCTCTGAGGACCAACAAATTTATGGACAGATCCCTGGCACACCATCATAAAAAAAGAATAAAATAAAAAAGGATGAGATATGCGCCTATTAATGCTCCAAAGATTCACAGGAAGTGCTCCTGAACTAAATTTAATGCTGAAGGTCAATTTTACACACGCATTGTATGCATATCGTATTCATTACATCCACACAATACATTAATCCTATGTGAGGCATAGAAATGAGCTCAGAGCAATTGCAAATTGGCATTATTAACATCTAATCAAAGGGAATAGTCTTCCTGCAGCGTTCAAAGAATCTCCACTTCCTCTAATTTAGGAACCTGGAGAGCAAAGAGAAAGGGTGAGGAAAATGGGATTTGTCATTTTATCCATGAGGACATCCAATCGGATCATCATGGCAGCGCTTCTGGGGGTTGTGGTTGCTTATAAGAGCCAGAAGGGGAAATAGTATCAGTAGAACGTCAGCATGAATGAAATCCACTTCTCCCCCTTGACCAGCAACATCCGCAATGAGCTGGAGTAACAAAAAACAAACACAATAGTGCTTACGCCCTCAAAAATATTGGCACGCAGTCTTACATGTAAACATGCA